ACACATGCCATTCTTTTGCTCTTGTGTCCCATGAATCTGACTCTTGCTAATAACTCCAATTGTCACGGCTATTCTAAGTAGTGTTACATTTCTGTATTTTGTAAGTTTAACACAATTTGAAATATTTTAACCCTCTATGCAAGCTTTTAAGTTACCTTTTGGAGCTTTTCTACAAAGTGTATTGCTGCTGGCTCTGACAGTTCATCAATGGCTTCTCCAAGCTTTGGTTACTCATTCTTGACACTCCTATTACATTCAGGTTCTCTTGTTCTCCATAATGGCAGTAAATGGTATTTCATTTCATTCATTGGTTGCCACTTCTGAGAAAATGAATTTAACCGAATCCATGTTAATCGTAGATGCATCCTAACCTTGAAAATGTTCAGTTCTGAATTCAGAATGTTCGGAAACACTGTCACGTTGAATGGTCATAAACAGAATGAAATAGTATTAACTATATAAAGTTATAAAAGGAAGACTATTGTACCACCATGGAGCCTGGTAGTGAAAGTATTAATAACTGTGATTGTTGCTACTTTTCCACCACCATGCACCAGTGGCTAATTTCTGCTTTCAAGTCATACAGTTAGCGTCTTTTTTCTAACGGTAACTTATTTGCTTTTGCAGGAAAATGAAAGCTATTGTACGCTCTTGCCAGTGTATATTCCTTAAGGATGTTCCTATGCACCAAAAAAATACTATTTCTATGATAGATCAAAGAATTTCTTGAACATGTTAGATATTGCTGTTTACTGACCCCAGGGTAAACACAAGAATAGATGGAAGCAGTTTTCTTATATGCTTTCTGCATTGGGAATTTCTTTCATTGGCCTAGTGGGAGTTTTGTTATAGACTATCTTGAGAGCACTGCATTTTTTATACTGGTTTTCACTGTCTATGCTGCATTTTTCAAGCAGGTCAGATATGTGTTGGATGAAAGATATAATCTTATTGCTTCAGGCAATTCCTGGGTTCTGTGAACATACAGTATACTGTATCTCAGTCTTGCAATGTACCCACCTTTGTATAACTTACCAAACAACAAAGGAATGTTAGCTCGGAGAAAGACTCTTGCTTCTATCACTGTTAGAGGCATAGCAATAAAGTGTTCTCTTTCTCCTTATATTTTTAGATTTATTTTTATCCTTATTTTTAATCAGCACATTATAAGGAGAAAGAGACCAATACATAGAATGATTAAAATGCTGTTCATCAAAAGAACAGTAAAAAACATTTGAAAGAAAGTGTCAAAGGTTAATAATAGCAGCCTTTTAGAAGATAAAAGGAAACTGAGTAATGTTTAAATTAGGATAAGATCACTTTATTGGCCATATACGATTTTTTGTATTAGGAATTGGTCTTTTCACATACCCTAACTTGCTCTCCACAAGACACACAGACAGGGAGAGAAGCTAGGGGTCAGAGCACAGGGTCAGACATTTATACGGCAGCCCTGGGGTTGGGGTGAAGGGCCTTGCTTGGTGGCCCAACGAAGTAGGATTCCTCTGTCAACTGCAGAATACAAACCGGCAACCTCCCAGCCAGAGGCCCTTAACCACAGAGCTACTGCACAGCGCCATTACATTAATGTTTAATTCAGGCATTTATCAAGGAAGAAAACAATAACATATACTCTAATGTTGACAAATTCAGAGTATTGCATGCACATAACAGAAACATAAATTCTAAATACAAAATGGGAAACTGAGCTTGAAGTAGCTACAGTATGTCTGAAAAATATTTAATTTAAGCTGACATTGTCTTCTAGATAACAAGGGGTAACAATAAAAAGGCAAACTATGTTATAATATACTGTATAGTTAAAGTTAATCAAGGGGTGTTGTATATTGTACAATACAACAGTAAGACTTTATTTAAAATATCATGCAAAAAAGATGATACTGCTATGGAATCAATCCAGAGGTCGCATACAAGCAAGAAAATGACTGACCTGCTAAGAGACCTGAATTGTTCAAGCTTTGATCTACAAAAGGATCTGATTCAAAATACTGAAAGTACTCACAAGCATTGAAAGAGCCAAACTAGGGGTGTTCTACAGGATCAACTTTAAAACATTAACCAGGGGACATAAGTGGAAACCACATTGAAGTGCTTGGATAAGGTGTCTGACTACAGATCAGAAGATTGAGGGCTTAAGATAACATTTAAAGAGTTTGATTCCCTGTGTGGTTGTTTTTCTTAAATTACCTTCCTGGCATGAATAAAGTATTTTGAATTAAATGGAATTTGAATTAATACTGTGATCAGGAGGTCTTTTTCTATACAGAGGTTTGGGAGTGTCTGGATCAAGCTTCCCAGCTACATTATCGAAGCTGATACCTAGCTTTTTTGAAGAAACAAGTGAATGAAAAATCTCAGAGCAAATTAGTTGCTATTTAGCAGAAAAGCTATACTGGTCTTATGTCCTCTATTCTTTCTTCTTATGAGTACCTTCCAAGATGGTGTTGAATTGATAGAATAATTGTTTTGAAAAGAGGACATTTAAAACATATTTCAATAATGTTTTAAAGACAAACATAAGTGACAAATAAACATATTCAGTTTCTCAAACTGAATCTCAAGTAGGAATCATGACAGAACAGTGTATCCTCAAGCATGATGTTTAATAACGGAACTGTTCTTTTTTATTAGACTGCTGGAATTTGTGTCATGCATTAACATTTGCAAAGTATCCGGGCCCAGGGATTTGAATTTGCAAAGTAACTTCATGCCATTCCAACTTGTCTGAGTGAAGGGATACTTAAAAAAAAAAGTAAAGCATGTAAGGGATATGAAAGGTATTCCTTGCAATTTATTGAAAAGAATATGAATAGGTTGTGCTTTGCGACTACTATCAATGCATCAGTAAAATAACCCACTTCAGTATGTTAAACAGAAGAAGCGGAAGGAAGCAATAAAATTATGCACATCAGTGATCTGGAGATGCAGGAAATGTTGCCCATATATTTCCATCTTTATTGCTGTCCATTCCAGACCATTTAATGTGCAGACTAACATCAAGTTTAAACCAATTTGTTTTAGCTGTTTCCCAATTTTTTCATTAATATCATCCACATTATGAAATATTGTCTATGTAAAATGGGGGCACATGGTTTGTGCAAACTATAAATCTAATCACAGTAAGGATCACTGAGCATGACTATAAAGTTAGCTAATTTGTATCTACTTTATGAAGCAGAAACCTGAGTTTGATCACCTTTCTATAACTAACATTAATAGAAAATGCCTTTATGTGGTCTTAAATACTCGCATTTCATATTTAAAAAACATTTCCAACAAACTTTAAAAACAATATCCTTCAATATATTGACATTTTTTTGGAGGACATTTGAAATTACCTAATGTAATTCATATCAATGTGACTTTTATTGTCACAAAATTTTATTTTTATTTGTGATGCAGCTTCATTGAATTTCATTGTGGTTCATAATTCGTAAAGGCAGAATTAATTCAGTGTTCAGTGTAGAATGATTAACAATCACAATGTCTTTGCACTCTGTAACTACTATTATAAGAACAAGTACTAGTATCACTTCTGAAGATCCGGGGCAGGGCACCACAGAGGGAAAAGCATATCACTGGAAGAGCCTCACATAGGAAATTCAACAGAGTAGTGTCTACCTATTAAAGTAGCTTTCAAACTTGGTCTCTAAAAGTGAAATGTGAAGAAGGTTATTCTGAAACTGTCACAGATAAAATGGAAATTTGAAAGCAGATTTATCTACAAAACCACAATCTGTATCTAAAGAGCACAAGTTTTTCAAAAATAGAAGAGTTATTATCAAATATACCACTAACAGTGTAGCAGAAAATTAAGAAATCCAGATATTTGTGTTGATTAATTAATGTTATAATTTTATTTTTATAATTTAGTAAGATTAAGTTTCCAATAATACATGATCTATGTTTTTTTCTAAATGTTTAATATTTTTAGGAAATACAATTTGTTGTCAGTATTCTTCGTGGTATGCATGTACAATATACAGTATATAAATGTGTGCAGTGCCTATAGCATGGTTCCTAACTTGTTAAATCTGAGCTACATTCATAATCATTTTTTGTTTAATTCTTTACACTTAATTTGTGATACACAGTAAATCATTGCAAGAACATTTAAAAATGCCAGTGGTTAACAATGAAAACCGATCTGCATGTCTGGGATGTTAATATATTAATCCTATGCTAAATTTCTCCCAGTGCAGAACAAAGTAATTGCTTTGGGAAAATAAAAAAACAAAACAACATTTAATATTGAAGGGGAGTTGTAGGACAAAGAAATGTTTCTTTTTCTTGCTCAAGCCATTATGATGTTTTTTGGATGAGTCTCCATGATCAGAAAACAATGACTTTCTGCATTATTGGAAACACAAAGGAAAAAACCCTAATAAGCTGTAACAAGAGTAGCTAATTAAGTCTAAAATTGCTCTGAATTACACACCATTGCCCTTTTGTGAATTTATCAGTTTGTTTTTATAAAAGAATGGCCCCACTAACTTACACTCACACAGTGCAAGTACTGATCTCAAGTGAATTTAAAAACCAAGAAATAAAAAAGGAAAACATTGGATTTGGAAAGACTAGTATTAGAGAGCAGCATCTCAGCCTCGCAGATTTCATGTCCAATCAGTGTACTGAATGCGTTCCTTGCCGAAGTCCCTTTAGTTACTGTAGCTCCACACTTTGGCTGGAGTGAAATCCCCTTAGCAGCATTTTGCTGTCATTCTGAGGAAGGGGGATTTGTTTGAGTCTATCATCCCACATGGCCCCAGTGGCACTACATGGACTCTTCCTGAGGTCGGAGTAATTGCTCTTGTTTTAAGCAGCAGAGCAGACCCCTTGAATTACAAAGCAGCCGAGGAGACCCTCCCCTCCATCACTGCTGTCACAAACACTTCCTGTCGTCAGGCATTCTGTGGCTCCCCAGAGCTTGTTGCCAGGCAACCTGGCTCAATTAATATGCGAGGCAGAAAGAGCAGGGAATGCCTCAGCTCCTGGAGCAGCACAGCAGCATGGTTTGACTAACTAACAGAATGTGTTCATTCAGTGTGGCATCCAGGAGACACTTAACACTTTGCTACTGAACTGATGCCAGGGTGTAGAGTCAGAAAGTCTGTCAAAGGAGATGTTGTCCTATGCCAATTGGTGTATACTTTCCTTCTTGCCCACGCCTGGCCAGAAATAAGAGCAGATAGAAACTCTTAATACTATTAAGTATCTTTTAATTAAGAGCTTTGTTTCAAAATAAAGTACTGGATGGATATTTGGATGTGTGAGAGACCCATGCTACAGTGCTGATGAAGGGTTTCAGACATCCTGTGCCTTCCTACTGAAAGATAAGCTTTAATATAATCAACAGGAAAACACAGACCTCAGCAGTAGATCTGGACACATGGTACTGCTTTCTCTTTTCCTGTTTGTCAACTCAAAAGGCTTACGCCTGACATCATCTTAAAAAAGAAGTATGCCTTTTCAATTGCTTATTTAAGGATGAAGTACTTTCAGAAGAGATTGAACCTGGTGCTCATACGATAAAACTGAGGGAGAATTAAACTTCTGAGATGAAACCAGGGGAAGAAAAGCCTAACGAGTCCAGAGTTTGACATCTTTGAATATCCAAAGGCTCCTAGTCCTTCAGTCTTTTTTCTGAAGAATGTGTGGTGCAGCTTTTTCACATGGATGCCTAGGATGTTTGCATACCACAGAAAGACTAATTCTTGCAGCATGTGCTGTGTTACATTTCTTGTGATGCAGTACCAGGTAAATCCTGTTTTAAATATTAAATATTACAGTACGTTACATAGTTATTATGGTTTCATTTTTTCTGCATGTCATGTATCTATGAGACTTCCTGAAGTATAGTGCAATATGATGTTCTATATAATTAAAGTTTGTTAATAATGAATGCTTGGTGATCTCACAGGCGGAAAATGAGTTACATTATTTTTTTTCATTCATTGTTTCAATTTATGTTCATAGTTTTCAGTTCAAGACGGGTGTCTTTTTAAGTCCCTTAACTTCCTATCATGCTTCCTCTCTCTAAAACCTTTTATGCATTTTCTGTAATTCTGTTTTTTTTTATTTTAAAGCTGTATTCAACATTAAAAAAACAGATTTCTCCATTTTACATACTTTAATTGTAATGATGAAAATGACCCTTACTTAGATCACAGTTGTAAAAATTTAAAGTGTTTATTATAACCTCTGAAAAGTAATTACAGAAGGACCTGCATATCTATGAGTTTATTCTGTGCTGTGTAAAATGTCATGTCTTGGAACTATGTATATATTGCTCTACATTTATTATCACTGCATGCACCAGTCTGCTCAATCAAAACTTGAAACACTAAATAATAAGTAACAACACAATTTTAGCATTTGCATTTTTGCCAGCTGTTCAGATGCTGTACTTACATATTCATTAATTTAAAGAAAACTGACATAAATGTATAGTACAATTATATATAAAAATGTTTTCTGTTGCGATTAAGATCAGGCAACCAAAGTATGATGTATTGTAAAAACTAAATGTTGGTATGCTATATTACTCCTTTATTTGAAATTATATAATTAATACAAATTATGTGAAATTCAGTTTCAGTTTATGTGAAATTTCCATTTTAATAATTATTTCACATTTTGACTACAGTATATTAAGTTTTAATCATTTAGCTTTTCCCCAAGGAGATCAACAATCTTATACTAAACCTAAATGCTTCTAACCATTTTACAATTATTTTGTAATTATTTAATTATTTATTTAACTATCCTGAAACAAGTGTTTGTAAGCAAGTTCAATGTTATTCTTTGCATGTATTTTATTAATGTGTACTGGTATTATAGAAATCATTTTTGGAAATAGCACAAGAGTGTAAATGACACATTATGAGTTTCCTTATTAACATATAAAGCTTTGAATTTGTGCTGTAATAATAAAACCATAACATAATGATCATAATGTCTTGAAAACCTAATGTGGATTTCATTTGACTGTCACAAGTTTTTTCTTTCTAACGTATTGAATCTCCAGTACAAAAGTAGTTACAAATATTACTAAAATAATAAACAGTTGTAAAGTAAGGTAATTTTCATTTGTTAACTATAGTGATTTTAGTTTTAGTACTAAATGAACAGTAAAATGATTCCTTTATATTCTAAAACTTTCTTCAACACCTTCAGTGATTATTTGGGTATAAACTCATTATATGTGTACTCCGTCTGCAATATTAAAAAAAAAAGTTGCTTGTGTGCTTTCTTGTTTTAATTCCGCTTCAAAAGAATGCCAAAAGCCATTCTGTTTGTCAGACTAGGTTAATGTCTTGAACATTTGACATGTTCTGAATTATTCAAGTAGAAGAAAGCCTTACACTTCAGCGATCAATAGGACATTTATTCCAGAGAAGGTGTGCCATACAGTACCTCTCTGTTGCTGTGGTGCTCGATTTTACTTAGCACCCCTTCAGGGTGCAGTCCAAAAGCACAGATGAGAACCTTGGAAAAAACTTCCCTGACAGTTTGAAATGCTTTGTTGAACAATAATCATGTTAAATTAAAGGTTTTTCTGTTTATCCCCCAAGATGTTTGTGTAACAGCTACTACAGCACAGTAGCGCACGCTAAAAACTTTTGCAACTGGAAGACAGTGTCCCTGAAGTAAAGTTAAACTTCAATCACAGTATTTTTGTGATGGTGCTAATAAACAAGATAGAGTAAAGGATAGATCATCTAAATTCGATTTTCATTTGATATTGTGAATAGCTCTGTTTCACTTGATTCATCAAATATTACGCTAAAGTTGTTTCAGGAAGAAATTATTTATATGCAGAAACCATGGACAATTACAATAGAGATATTTTTCTGAGAATCCATGACTACACCATCCACTTCAAATCCATGAAAAACACTAATTTCTGATGAAAGCCTTAGGCAATTGTCCCATATTTATCACATTTGACATTGTAGTAATAAGTCTTTAAAATTAATTAAAAGGCTTAACTTTTATCTAAAACATGATGTAACAATGAATTTAAACCAAACTTAAAAAATGAAATTAGTTAATTTAGTCTTTTTTGCATTTATAACAAGCTGCTCTATTAAGTTCTCCTGTAGTAAGAACTCCTTTTGCAAGTAAACCTATTAACTTTTCACAACCCTGAAAGTTCCATTTCTATACATTATGTATGTGCAATAAATATTTCACTGTATTCATCTTGTCTAGAATACGTTTTCTTTTCAAATGTATTCCGCTTTTTGTATTTATGATAGTGGATATAGGTGTATGGGTGTAGTACTATTGACAGAAAGTGCTAAGATGGGCTTGTTTTATCCTCTGTATTTCTGAGAGACCCAAAAAGAGTCTAATAAATAAATAAGATCTCAAAGTTAACAAGCTTGATTGTATCTGTCCTATTTCACTATGCATTTATACCTTTTTGAAGATTTAACTAATGAGTAAAATAACAGTGTAGGTAATTTTACCAAGAAATAAGAAATGAATAGTAGGATGTTACAACACTTCATGTACATGGAATTATTAGATTGATATGGATAGCTGTCTTCGAATCACACTGTCTTTTAGAAGAGGAAAATACTGATTATACTGTAGTTTCGATACTGTAGTTTCGATACTGCGTGTCTATTGAAATAGCTCATTTTAATTTCACAGGGCAATGTGAATTATTTAGAAACATGTAAGTGCCCAGAGCTGTCTTACTAGTGTAAAATTGCCAATACATAGGGTTTAACAATACTGTTGCAGACTCCTACAGTAGGTATCATTTCTATGACTGATATATAAATAAATGTTTCCATAAACACTATCATAGCATTGCTTTTTTCAATAATAAATAAGCATATTGCTGTGCATCGTCCTTATCATGAAGCTTTGCTCTTGTACAAAATATTTCTTTACAAAATACAAATGAAATATTCACACTTACACGCAGTTATAGTAGTAGAATTCAATAAAATCATAAATGGTTTTGTAATGCCAAATTTTGTAAAGCATAGTGGAACCAAAAAATGAGGGGCTAACAAAAACAAAACATTAAATTATTTCAAATACTGTTATCAATTAATTCTTATGAATATTATTTAAAGTTAAATAGAAGAGGTATACAATTGTTGCATCCATTGTTGAAGTGTAACTACAGTATGAAAAACCCTCAGTAAGTGGTGATTTGACAGTGGGCTGCACGTCAGACATATAAAACATTTTATGTCTCATTGAAGAGTAAGACGATAAATAGTAAAAATATTTTGGTTTTAACTATGATACCAGGAAATTGAATGAGACTACCAACTCAAAGCCTCCAAAAATATGATCTTGTTTAATTCTGTGCTTCATGTCTAATTCCTTATAGGCTCTGCGCAGACTGATGTGATTGTCTTTGTATGGCAGGTTCTCTGTGCTCCCTGCTCCTCCTCTCCTCCACCAGTGGCCCTGAGGCCTCGTCGCCATGCGCCCCGCCCGGCTTGCTCTGTGACAGGAGCTGCAGCTTCTCATCAGTAAGTTCCTCATCTTCTCATCATGGCATTGTTCGGGCTGCTGGCTAGAGCTGGCTACTGGCTGATCTAGTTGCTGTTTTCGTTACTTACAGTACATTTCCAATGCATTCACTCATGTAGAATAAACGTTTCTGGTCTACATTTATACATACAGTATATATCGCCTGTAGCGTGGCTCATTCTGCAGGGGCTCTGATCTGCAAACAGTGAGAGATTGGCTTCAAATCCTTTTTTAAGCACTTTGAGATGCTACTTTTAAATGCACAACATAAAATAATGTATTATTAATAATAATTTTGGAACAGAAATAGACATAGACAACTACTTCCATGACATTGAAGGAGCTTCCTGAAATGGGAGAGATTGCTTAAAAGCATCAACACCTCATTACCCCTAAGGCTACTTATGCAATCTTTGTTGGCATAACCAAACAAATGCAATAAAAGAGGGAAATTATGACGAACATTAAACTGCTCAGTTACAACCTAGCATTCCACTATTAAAGGTTGAAACCACAGCCAGCTCTGGCAGTATAGCAATTGGGCTAATGCTTTTAGTTGGGTTAATTTTGCTGCCCTTTACCTAAAAGGAAGCAACATGTGGATGAGGTCAACCGTCCTGTTTTCAGGATAGAACTCCTTCCTGGCAGAGAGCCTATATTGCACAGTCCTGCAATAGAGAATCTTCAGAGAACATCATGTCCATTGACTATCCAAGTCACAACAGATACATTATTTTGTGATTCTCCATTTCTGTATTGCAATGTGAGGTTTTACTCAATCTTTCACGAAAAGGTTCCCTGTTTAGATTGATGATCATGGGCATTGACCCCCTTCGTAGGGTCTTGGTAAATGTAGTAGGGTATCTTTCTTTGACCAAATCCATTTCCAAAACATATTCTGTGTGTGTTTCACACTTCAGACCTTGAAAGACACAGAGGTTAAACATGGAATCCTCTGCAATACTCGTATACCACCATTCATGTTTCTCTTTAGGAAGCATGACAGAGTTTCCAAAATCAAAAGGAGGAAGTGCCTTCTGTGTTGCCCACTGCATTAGACACTGTTTCAACATGTATTTAGAAATGGTATTGTAGGTCTTGCTTAACAAACATGTTAGAGCTCTTTGAATGAGCAACACCAGTATGTCATGATGTTTTTAGTAACCATGTCAGATTGGATTCTGAATAAATCTGGAGGGAACTGTAAGTAAATTCAGTATACTGATTAACATTTGATTTGAGGTACTGGTAAAATCTCAGGATTTTAGTAGTGTGTGTGGCAACCATTACAATTAGTACAAACTGTGCATCTGTCTTGTACGCTTTACAGTACATTGCAGATGCTGTCTTGCAGGATTATATCCCATTCTTTTTGTTGAGCATGCATAATCATGAGGCTATTCACAGGTCTCTGAGCCCTAGATGCCACATGTCATCCCACAAAGTTCAGTGGATATCAGGTCAAAGAGTGGATTGAAAAATCATAAACCATCTCCTTAATCACTGTGATAAAACAAGAGCAAGATAATATTCATACCCATGATTCATATCGGCTACAAACTGATACAGTATGACAAAGGATATTCTGTGTACTATATACAGTTTATATATATAGTAACACAAGCAAGTATTATACTCAGTTGACTATGATTTTACAATATAGAAAGTATACTTTAGAAGAGACTATAACAACAGACATTTTCCTAGTTTCATTGAAGGTACAACTGCAAACCAAAGCATTTGCCTCAGGTGTGCATAAAAGTATAAGTATCAAAATATCATATGTATTTGCTTCAACAACACGACTGGGTAGCTTGATCCATCCTCCCTTTGGATTAAGAAGTACCTCCTGTTCTTAATTTTAAATGCAATAGTTTTTAGTAGTGCTCTCTAGTTTGTGTTTCACTCTATTGTGAAGAAATCTGCTGTTTTGACCAAATGGAAGTACTTTATATAGTACATTGTACACTGTACGAAAAATGTTGACTTATTCTGAACTATTGAAAATGTAATTCTAATAAAATCTCTTTTATAGCTACACAAAAATCTGAATACAAGTCATGTACAGTAGCTTAAGCAATATATACAGTATATACAGTAGTTCAGGTGGGTAGCTGTGTCAGCATGCGTAGTCTGCATAGGAACAAGTAATAGGTTTATTCCATGCTGAAAAGAGAAGAGAGAGAACAATATTTTGGCTGTAAAGCCCTTTTCAGGTATCTATACAGTATATATATATGTGTTCAGGTGGGTAAGCTGCGTCAGTATGCGTAGGCTGCAAAGGAACAAGTAATAGGTTTATTCCATGCTGAAAAAAAGAAGAAAGAGAACACAACATTTCGGCCGTGAACGTTGTGTTCTCTTTCTTCTTTTTTTCAGCATGGAATAAACCTATTACTTGTATATATATATATGTATATTTATGTTCTATTTTTTTTCTATAACAAAAATTGTTGCTATTTTATTTTAAAAATTTTCATAAAGTCATAAAAAAGATAAGTATTTGTATCTTTTCTCTATGAGTCTAGTAAAGCTTCAGAAGACTCTGAATAGGATTGCTACCAATGAGTGAGAACTGCAAGAGGATAAAAACAGAATATCAGAATACTGTTTGGCATTGTTCTGTTGTAAGGTTTAATGAGGTTTAATCAGTAAGTGTTGACTCTTGAACAAACAATTGTATGAAACACAACCTGAATGCTAAGTTGCACCTCAGGTTCAACTTGCACCACCTTCAATTCAGAAATTAAAATGTGTTCCTACAATGCTACAGTGAGCTCTAACTTGGTTGCTTTATTATTAAAGTTAAAGCTTTTGTGGAACTGCTTGAGCTATTTTGGTAGATCATGATTTCTATATTGAGCATATATTTTGTCACAGGGCACAAGGTCTGGTGCCTGACCAGGAGTATTTGTTGAATCTAGGGTTTTAACCACCCATTGCTGCTATTATGTAGCAACTTCTGCAAAGCAGGCATACTGTATTCTTATAAGTCACAACAATTCCAGCAGTGGAGTCTAAACAGATTTTTGTCCAATGTTCAGTAGCGATGGTCTTGAAGCTTTTGCAGTATCTATTTTTATGTGAGATGATTGTATGATCTCTGATGCTGTATGTAGTCAGGATTTATTTTTTGTAAAAAAAAGAAAAATATGTTTTGGGGAGTAACCATTAGTGTAACGGTTACTCTCTATGTATTAGTATTAATACATGCTTATACTGTGCCTTTTGTACACTTGTTGCCTAATATCACACCATCATATCACTTCAATAACAGTTTATCCAATTCAGTGTCATGGCGGCCTGGAGCCTAATCCAGGAAAGCATTGGACACCAGGTGGGAAACACCTTGGATGGTCTATCCATTCACACACAGACACACACACTCATGTCTGGGAGCAGGTGTTTGGACTGTGGGGAGAAACGGGAATACCTGGAGAAAATCTGCATGTACACGGGGAGAACATGCAAACCCTGTTATCAAATACGAATGAACAAATGTAGAGATTTATGATTTTATACATGTAACATGTGCGATAAGCTTTATATTAAGAATACTGTTACACAATTGTTACCTGTGAAAGAAGTACACTTTGTATGCATGCACAAGACAGAAAAAAATCCCTCATAACAAACTAGGAAAACAAAACATTACATTGGCTTCTTTCGTTTTCACTTAGATAAATATCAAAGTAAAGATCAGATCTTTTATTTCTTTTTTATTTCTCACAGATTTACTTCAAGTATTTAATTGCTTAATACTATAAAATGTATTTTGTTTAGCCTGGCAAAGAAATTCTTAAGGCAGCCAATATTAAATTTGGTTAATTGTAAAATAGATTCTTGAGAAACTTTACACCACATTTAATGTTTCTCTGCTGTGACCTAGAAATTTAAGCACAATGACTCACTTTATAGCGAAAGTCATGTTCTATAAATATGATTATACATATCTGTTGTGACTTTATGTTCTGATATTTTAAGACTGATTGAACAAATTAGATGTAGAGGAAGTTTAGATATATATGTCCCAATGTTACAAATGTAGCCAGTGTATGACTCATTCAAGGACAGTTAAATTATTTTGGCATTATTTAAAAAAAAAACTATTCCTAGATGGAAGTATTTCTTTGTAAGAATTTCAGTCATTGCATGGAGAGATACAAATACAAATCTTACAATATTCTGAGCAGAATGTTTTCCAAAAAAGTAGTGAGCTGAAGTAATTATATTGGATGGTGAGCCACAAAATTCCAAAGATCAGCACAAGCCAGTGTGAGTATATATTTTAAAATTAATTAGAGGTTAATTAAAGCTTAGACAAGGACAAGTATCAGGCTGATAAAAAAGGTTTTGTTTGCCTTGTGTATGTGGTAGCAGAAGCAGAGGATTTAAACATGATGGATGTGACTGCCTGTGAAAATAGAGGAACAGTGTTTATAAAAAGTGGCCTGACACACCTCTGATCCTACAGTCCCAAAGTGTGTATCTTGTGTATCAAATACAATCATAAACACAGAAAAGTGCAGGCATATGTAACTGCAGCTACTGTATCTGAATATGAATAAAACATGTTTTTAGAAATATATCGGCATAATGCAAAGACAGCACTTTATGTTGTAAATGGAATACAAGGAGAAAAAAAAGTCAAATTACTTTAATAGAAAGAAAGAACAGCAAGTGACTGTGGTAAATGAATTTATTTAATGTGAAATGTAATGTGCTGGGAACAAATGTTTAAATATTTGTTTTAAAAGAAGTTGAAACAATGGTGAATAGCTCTACATGCTCACAGATCTTGGTTCCTGAGTTTGACTCCTGACTAGGGGTACATTGTGTGTTTAGTTTGCGTGCAAGACCAGCTGTTGGTCTGTAATTCTAATCATTTTGTTCTTTCTGTGTGGTAGAATAAAGGGAAATTGTTAAGCTGAAATGGTAATGCACTTGGACTGAAAACCCCCTCCTCAGCACAAATAAACATCCTACAATCACCTTTAAAGATATTACAGTATGTCACCGAAAGGACAGTATCAAAATGGACTTAACTGAATAAATGAAGAAAATACATGTACAAGTTTTGTAGTACAGCATTCAAGTAAATTTATTATAAACATTTTCTCTGTTGTGCTGCTTTCTGTATATACTGTATGCTCATTTTAACCGTAATCTTCCTCTTTCTGTGAATAATTCATAGGAAGGAAAGGCTCATTTGCACTTTATTATATTAGAAAAACTATTAGTGCAGACTAAGGTTTACAGGTTTTATATATGGTTTTAGGAAAACTGGTGTACATTAACATCATACAACTGGCTTTGGTCAGCCAGGTTCAAATGTCCTGCAAGGTGTAATACATTTTATTTTGGCTGGACAGACACAGTGGCCTCCTTTCATTTGTAACCTTTTTCTGTTCTTAATCACGTCTTTGATTACGTAACAACTGTGGCATTGCTACTAGCGCACATCCATCAGGTTGACTGCTGTGAATTGTTGTGGTTCATTGTCAGAGCACCATTTCCACCATTTTAGCTGATTGTTATTGAGAAATTGTTAACTGACTGACAGATTGATTTGGTTGGTGTTTTAATCTATAGTAACTTACATTTATATCCATTCATAAAGCTGGGCATTTCTCTAAAGTAATCTAAGTGAAATGCCATGTTAGGCATATCAAACAGGGATCCAACTAAGAAACCCACATTTGAGTCCAGAGCCCAAACAGCATTGCACGCGATGCACTTAGAAGACCAGTCTACAAGAGTGATTCAGCATTTACTGAAGTAATTAAATTATGATAAGTTGTCCAGAAATTAGATTTTAAAAGTTCTAAAAAGGTCCTACGGACGGCATTCATTGCCTATACCAAGACCAAAAGTCAGATTTTTTTATTGCTGCGATTGTTTGGGTTTTAAAATTGTCTTATTCCTTTCTTAAGCTGTACATTAAGGTTAAGTGCTTTCCAGCACCATACCTAAGACCAATGTTAAATTCAAGAGCATCAGTGTCACATTGAACATCATGCAAGTACCTATTTAATACTCCACTGTCATAATTATTTATAAGTGCAGTACTGTGATAACACACTAATTACTGTACATTAATAGTGCATTTTTTGTCTTTAAAATTAATAAAAAAATTTACATGGTGTACTAATAAATTCTTTTTGTAGCACAACAGAACACTAGTTTTGGCTATTTGTTCTGATCAGTATCTATAAGTACAAACCATGACTAGTATAACATATTTTGTTATATCTTTTCTGCATGTTGAATAAGGAAGTCAAGGAAATAAGACACGTTCATGCAAATTCTACCAGATTTCAGTCATCTGCATTTTTACCCATCAGTTTTCAATTAAATTTGAAATATTTCTTTCACCAACAGGCTAGTCTGAGAAGGAAGCTGCAGACGTTCACTGTGACAATGGTTAACACTGCAGTCAGTGATGAAGAAAAAGGAGCTCAAGAGAAGGAGAGCAAGGAGGAATCCATACTGGCCATGCTTGGTATAATTGGAACCATCCTTAATTTAATTGTAATCATTTTTGTGTACATCTACACAACACTATGAACTGGACAAAGTCAAGACATTACCAAGAGGACTGATGCTTAGATGGATACTAAATGGATACTAGGTTTTGTCTTCTTGCTTTATTAAAATTTACCAGGACTGTGTAATTACACCATAAAACATTACCTTGCCTATGGGCACAGTGGTGAGAAGCACAAAAGAGTTTTGAGACTTCATTTCTCAAAATGAAGAACTGGCCCCTTCAAAGCTTATTGCATTGTTCCTAAAAACACATAGCTCAATGGCTACAATACATTCTATTTCAGATGGAAAATATGTACCATCTTTTCAGTTATCAGTTTTGTTAATAATAAAGGATTCTGAGGTATAAAAATATATTTTTACACAAGAATATCAAATGATATTAATTGACTGAGAACGAAAGTTATAATGCCTTGACTCTTCTTGAAGTAAATCCCTGTATGAATATTATACTGTATATACTGTACTAAGCAAAATCTATGGACTAAATAGTACCCAAGAGGCACACATTAAATTATTTGAAGGAGTTTGATAAAATGTGCAATGAAATGATATGGTCTAAAATTGATTCAGGTGGAGAAATCAAACCATACTGTAAATACTAAAATTGTTCAGTGTTAAATGTTCTCTTTTTTAAAAGAAAATATCTAAATTCCACTTAAAAATATATAAAGATAATTTATGATATTTAAAATAACTGGGATCATTATAATGGTAAAGAGGAAATTTTTAACACTTTCTTTTTGGTGTTTTGTGTTACCGAAGACACACATTGAAACACAAATGGAAAGGATTTCAAGTATTTTGACTTTAATAAAAAATGTGAGGTTTATTTCTTAAATGATGGGACCCTCTTAATTTAAACAGAACATTTTGAAAACCACTGCGATAAAATTCTTCATTACGCAATTTAGGGAACTGCCAGTTGGAACTGATCATTATTCTGCCTTAAAATAGAAACTAACTGTATATCTTATCTGGAAGAAGACTTAGAAGACCAAACTTAAAAACCACAAAATAGTGTAACGCAGGATGGTATTTCCAACAGTTTTCCTTGAAATTTGTTCAAAGTTGGATAGTTTTTTAAATGTTTCATGTCTTTGTGTGAAATAGTCCACAAATTCTGAATTTATAGACTGAAAGAAGACACATTGAAAAAACAAAATTGTTAAAAAAATAAAATTCACAAGCTTTTGAATTAGGATCTGACACCTCAGCAGTGGTTCCTTCACAGAATAATCACTGAATAATCATATAATTCAGACCATGTATTAGCTTTTTAAATACTTCCACCAAATACTTTGAGGCAAGACAAGTTCTGAACAGGATTCACTGAAAATCATGACCAACATAAATAGTGCCAACATAATTAAACAGCTGACAGAATATTTTCAAAAATTCAGTAAATTATTGATCATCTTGGCTGTTTGGATTATGCAAACCAAATTGGTCATTTAAATATTAGTGTTATTTTCCCATGTTCTATAAATATGCTTAGTATTTAAAATGTGATCAATGTGGCAAAATACACCATTTTTGTTAAAGCCGAATTGGCCACAGTTTTGGGCCAGGTTTACATTTTGTCTTGTCTTAAAGTGTCCTTGAATAATTAGGCCTAGTGACTTAAATGCTCTTGTATGCAGATGTTGGGGTTTATTCCCATAATCCTTAGGCAGGCTGGTGACGTAATCTACTGTACTGGTGATAATCTACTGAGGACATTAAAGAGTTTTTAATTTTGCATGATTTAAATGCTTATTTGTGTTTATTTCCAACTATGGGAGGACAGTCATGACGGTCTTCAGAGTTTTCTAGAGAGATTAAGGGAAAAAAGGTAATCTGTAACATATAGACAATGTACTATTTACAGATGGCTAAATTAATTTATAGTTACATGCATATAGGCACATCTGATTCAGCGGAAGCCTTTTATTCTTCAGTAAAGTGCCTATGACATTGCTTCAGGTCTTCATGTTTTATGAGAGATAAATGGTTTGAAAATTACAGTTTTCTTTTCTATAATTCTATAGAAATCTGTAGGTCATTTATACAGGTCATTTTCATAATGGCACACCCATTAGTTACATAACATAGTGCTGAGAATGTACTTCTAAATATGGATTTGTTTTTTGTACTTGCTTTTTGTGTTTGGTTTCTGCATCTGAATTCAGGTTAAAAAATCAATCAATTAGAAATTGCAGGTCCACACATGAAATGCACTATTTAAAAAAAAAAACTGAGCTGAGTGCCTAAGGTCTCCAATCCTTTACTTACAGTAGTTTAACAATTTCTGTGGAAGGAATTCTGACCTTCACATGGGATTTTGCAGCACAAACTGAATTTTTGTACTCTTTTAGGTTACCATTTAGCATTATGTTGTTTAGATTGTGTCCCTGTGTGTCGGAACAAGAGCCTGCTGCTTCATTATTTTTATTTTGCAACTGTTTGCAGTTGCAAATTGCCAGTGTTTGAGAAATATCCAATGCTTCTTCCTGAAATGCACTTGATCAAGGTGGTTTAATTATGCTTAAATTGCAATATGATAATCTACTGTAAACATTAAAGCCTGCTTTTGCTAAAAAAGAAAAGAAAGAAAAATTAAAATAAAGGAGTAATTTTTTCAATAGCAAATCGGTCACTCAATATTTCTATGAGTCCAGTTTGCTGCTAAAAAAACTATAGATTTCTTCCGGGTACTGATCAGATCCAATATATTCACATTGTCATCAGTTTTTCTGCATATACTGTATATATTTAACTGATGGATCATTCTTTTTAAGCACAATTTAATCAAGTCAAAAGGCTATACGACATTATGTATAACAATTGTGATATGAATAGGAACATCATCACCTACTGTTTACCATCAAGAAACATTGCAAATAATACAGTAAATTGTTCTACTTTATTTCTTTGTCATAAGAACTCTCTATGTACAGAGCTGTTGAGAGCTTTAAAGAGTATCTGAATAATGAAACCAGCTTTTTAGTTGTCATTTTTTAAGTAATATGGAAGGACACAGAAACTGCAGTAATGTTAATACAGTTACTATATTACTAATTACAGTAATACTTTAGAATAAGGCTTGCAAATGCCTATGAATGCACGTAAAATATTCTATTAATACTCTAGTATACATGAGTAAAGTTTTCATAGAATGAATGAGAAATGACTATTGTTAATAAACATACAGTTAATCATTAGTAAATATTAGGTACTACAAGGAATATAAAACTGTTATTTTCTTTAAATGTGTTATAGGTTCCATAGAATTTATTAAAGGAAACTGTAGCCATTAATCTGAAAATGTATTGTAAGTGATTTTAGTAGTAGTGAGTAAATCTGTAATACAAGTAGTAGAACTATTAATGAACAGAGGAGTTACTGTCAATATACTTATATAGTAAGATCTAACTATTTAGTTGTATTTATATACTGGTACTTAAAAGTATCTTTTGTCAAGCAGCCAGTGTTTTATATAACAATAATAATAATGCAATCAAGTGCTTTGGTGTAATAGAAACATCATAGTTACCCATTGTTGCAGCTTGATAGCTTTACCTCAATTTACAAGTGTGAACTGATAACCTCTGTTCTGGTAAATTGCTCTCCAACGATTACAAAATTTGGAGACTGGAATTATATTCAACTTCTCAAATGCGCTCTAAACAAAATCAATAAGGAAAAAAATGAGGGCATTGTTCAGTTTTAGGACATTGATTATAGTTTAGTTTGATCTACAAATCACTAAATGGCTGTGAGTTAGAATGAGTAGTCAAAATACTTCATTAGGCCTATTTTTACATATGGTTATAGTGGTGGGATCCAGGCATCACAAAAAGTGGCTCATAGAAAGAAACACTTATCTTCCCGAGGAAAATGAATGATGTTGTAAAGGCTAGCTTATAAACCCATTTAAATGTTCATCGGGAAGCAGGAAGTGTCCAGCAGGAAGCAGTGATAAACCAAAAACATTTTCTGAATTTTGAGATTGAAACTACCCAAGACATTAATAAGTTTACATTTCTTCTGGAAAAGCACATTGTCACCTGAGAACTGGTGGTTACGAAGAAGGGATTTCTAATGAAAGGTAGTTAATTAAAATATTTAATTCCAAGGGTGCAACACAATGGCACAATCTGGGAGGGATTCTATGTTCAGAGTGTTTTTGACTACCTTACTGCAGTGAGAGCTGCATGTTTTTGCACATCCATTAATTCTATGATTGAAAACATATGATCTACAAGTCACTAAATTGCACAAAAGTCGACAGTTGAGATAATCCACACCTGCTACTTAGAGAAGTGAAAGGACTTTGCTACACTTTGTGTAAACTACTCAAACTTTACAGACAACCTAAGCAAATGAACTAACACAGACATATCAGGCTTGAGGAAATAATTATTGTGTCAGAGAAAAAATAGAAGATAAGCATATTACAAATATTTTCACAAGGAGGTGCAAAGAAGCCTCAGCCTCAGCTCCCACCATTTCATCTAATAAGACAGTTTATCTGCTAAAGTCTAAATCAATCTGAAGGGCAGAGAAGGAAATCTGAAAGTTCGGGGTACAAAGAGATTCCAACACACAATCTCTAATGTACCTATTTTTACTCAAGCTCTTTTGTTCATATTATTTAGGTCATATATGTGTCAAAACAATTTTACATCCAAATGAGAATCTCTGTGGATTTGTAGATGAAATAAGCCCCTTATAAAAATAAAAAAGCTGAACTGCACATTTTATAAATGTATTGGATTAGGCAATGAACCAAGTAAACAATGTTGTTTGAAAACTCACAGCTGCTTAAATTCACAAAAAGCCCAGAAGCCAATGCTGAGGTATTGTTTCACCTTTATAAAGAAGGCACAGTGACTGCAGATTGCCTTTAGGTTTATACTTTAATGTTATCTTAAACATGTATCCAGTTTAGTACAGCCATATTTAACTTTTTATGATAAAATGTTTAGGACTATTTCTGAAGCATTTTATTTCCAGTTTATCGTGAGCTTTCTTGATTAGCTTAGTGACTCGTAGTTTGTTTCAGCTTAAGATACTGTAGGCTCTGTGCCTAGGTTTCTTGCTGTGCAGCATTCAGAGTCACTTCATAGTAAGGAATGCCTAGAGTCTGAAAAGCATAAGCAAGATAACACATGAGAGGTAAAGGTAAGATGAAGCTATTGGCAGTAATAGATGATCTTAGGGGAATGTCACATGGAATCTATAGTACTGTACCACTGTTACATCATATATTCAGATCTAATTAATTGGGTTTGCAATTTTTTGCAATTTATCAATTTTATTTTAAACATACATCAAGTTTGGACACAGAAACTGTGTGTCACGATTATAGCTCCCCCTCCTTAAGGGCGCTCCAGCCCTTTCACTTTAGACTTTATTCTGTGCACCTGCTCCCTATTCCCAGCCCACCTTAAAAGCCAGGCGCTGACGCTCAACCGGGCTCTGCATCTGGTTTCCGTGCCGTGCGAGTCCGGGATCTGGAAGCGCCTGGTCCCGTTAAGGTTTTAATCCCCGTTCCCGTTCCCGTTCCCATTCCCTGTCCGCCGGTTCCGACCCGGTTTCTGGTTTTATTCCTTGTCTTGATGGATCTCCTGGTTTTGGACTTACCATGTGTTTTGGATACTCTCTAAGGATTATTCTTTTGGATTGTTTGCCTCGGCCACACCTTCCCCATGACCAGTGCACTTTGGACACGCCCCCCTGTTTTCAGCCCCGTATTCCTGCATGACGTTTTCCTAGTATGTCCCCCACTTCTTCGGAATGTGTCGTCCGCATAGGGTCCGGAAAGAACTGTTCGTAACACTGTGTCTAATTGGATATTGTCTAATTTAGATTCACTATTCAATTTGTGTTCAAAAGTGTCTCCCTTATGAAGGTACTATGATTTTAAATGATGTTTACATATGACTGATCATACAGTATACTCTCTACAGTCTCTCCTGAAGTTCTAAGAGTCAATATGGATGAACAGTGATTGTTTAATAGCTTCTAAAATATTTAACACTTTGTGCTGTGTTCATTATCTGAACATCCCTCTAGCTCAAACAGATTAATAACAGGAAGTCAAATTTAAGCATGCCTGTGGCTTGAATCTTAGTATAAATATCATTTAAGTAGCTGTGTGTCATAAAATTTTATATATAAAGTAAATCTTTCATTATTCTCATAATTCCTTTCCCCACATCTTGAGATATAGTGCCAAGAAAAGAAAAAACTTGGTGAAATGTGTCTTTGTTCTCATATATTTTTTACCAAAACAAAATTAGGTCTCCATGAAAGTCTTCATGAAATATGATAACCTGATTAAATTGTGTTACACAAAGACATAAGAAATAAATAAAAAAATAAGCTTACACTTCTATACACTGTATATAGCGCTTTTCCGGACACTCCACTCAAAGCACTTTACAGATAATGGGGACTCCCCTCCACCACCACCAGTATGCAGCATCCACCTGGATGATGCAACGGCAGCCATAGTGCACCAGAACGCTCACCACACATCAGCTATCAGTGGGGAGGAGAGCAGAGTAATGAAGCCAATTCATAGACGGTGATTATGAGGAGGCCATGACTGGTGAAGACCAGGGTGAAATTTGACCAGGACGCCAGGGTAACACCCATACACTTTTTGAAAAATGCCCTGGGATTAAAGAGAATCAGGACCTTGGTTTTATGTCTCAGCTGAAGGACGGCACCTTTTTTATTTATAGTACAATGTCCCC